CTCAGTAAAGGTGTAATTAATAAAACATGCCTGACTGACTCTCAATCAATCATGAAATACAATCCTAGATAAGGTATCCAGCATGCGTCACCGCAAGATGTCTGGATTCCCCCATACCCTGCCCTCGTCTTAATTCAGGTCAGATCATCATAACTTGACTTGGATATTCAGGCAACCATGGTTAGAGACACAAAAAGAGATGAAAAACACATCTGCATAATTATATCTTTATTGAGGGACAGCTCAGCATTATTTAAGATGCCTGATGTCACAGCACACTGCGATATTCATGCCTTCTTTTTTTGTGTCTAGCTGGCCTGTCTCTGCACCTCCCATCTTACTGCACACATGACATAAATCTAAGTAATAAGTATGGATGTACAAAAAAGAATGCAGTTTAGGAAACAATAGGAATTGGAACCTATGCAAAACATTCAGTCACAGAGCATTTTTGTCCATAGTTGTTAGAAATAGACTTGTTCACTGGTTTCAAGAGCAAAAGAAATCCTGAAGACCTTTATGGAGGACACATGAATGAGACACAAGAATGGTTTTCTCTTACCTGTCCCAAGACTCAGCAGTGCCTTCCTCTCCCTTGCCTCAAATGGTGACATGTTAAGTTCTAAAGTAAAGAACAACAATGGTTCCTTTATAAACCATCCCCAAGGGTTACAAGCTACCTTGATGCAAAGCAGCTGCTATATCATCTGTATCTTTTATTTTTAAGTGAGAGAGTAGCAAACCTTTCTATAGGCAAGAAGTATTTTAGCATTGAGTCTGCTGGTCAGCTTTACTTCAGCCACGGATGGAGCTCAATCTGCTCCATCTTCAGCCTGTCTGCCACTTTGCGCGTAAGGCACTGTCGAATCAGATCGCGGCAGTCTGTCAGAGAACAAATTGAGAGAGTCACACAGTTAGTCAGAAAATAATATTCGTGGAACTCGAGTCACGGGCAAAAAGTAAGCTGCTTACTAGGAGAGACCCATGGCGGGAATTTTAGGTGGCCTGAAACGATTGCCCTCTTGCTGCGGAAGGGGAGGTAGCCGCACACCAGCTCAAACAGAGTCACCCCCACTGACCAGACCGTGGCAGGGCCTGCCAGGTACTCCCGTCTGAGGAACCACTCTGGGGGAGCATAGGCTGTTGTCCCTGAAACAACAAGGTGAATTTCTCACAAAGTCTTTCATACAGCTGGGTATTTTTACTGAAGCAAGTCAGGTTAGGACCCAAGAATACAAATCCAACTCCCCTACAGGGAGTTTAATCACAAGTCCAGTGGCCTGTACTATGACGCGGGGTTACTGGGTTATCGGGGTAACTTGTCGGATTTTCGTTCACTTACATTTTGCCCAGACTACTTTAAATCCGCCAAGTTACCCCAATAAGCCAGTAACCCCGCTTCATAGTACAGGCCCCAGATCTGTTGAACACTAAACACTACCTGCTACTAATCCAGTTTTACTGGCTTTTAATTAGCCTCCCTTGCTGACCTGCAAATTCCCTGTAGGTGTCATCCATCCAGACATCTCCACATCCAAAGTCGATGAGTTTGACCTCTAAAGTGTCTGTTTGGATCAACAGGTTCTCCGGCTTGAGGTCTCGATGCAGGATTTTAGAGTCCTGGCAGTGACGCAACGCCCGGAGAACCTGGCCCAGCACATGCTTAGCAATGTCCTCAGAAAGGAATCCTCCATTGCTAGCGCAAAACTCGTGGAGGTCCAGGCATGGGTCCGGCCTTTCCAAAACTATGATGTACTCATCGACTCCAACAAACCAATCAATGAGCTTTATCACGTTTTCGCAGGGTGACGGAAGGCTGATGATTGTCATCATGGCCACCTCAAGGGGGATGGGCTCGTCAACTCCAAGCTATGAAGGGGATGTACGTATGTTTAGGCAGAAATTCATCTAAAGCAGCGGTCACTAACAGGCGGACCCCGGTTCGGGTCCGGACCCAGAAGCTGTCCCATACGGACCCGGACCGACAGCCAAAACATTTAGTTATTATTTAAAACCTGACGGGGCGCTTTTATTTTAACCGGCACAGCGTTTGTAGTCTTTTCGGTACTGGTTTAGCAGTAGAAACGCCGTTTCCCACGCCACTGAACGTCAAATGCCTTTGACCGCCAAGCAAGACGTATAGTTTGGCGTACGCAGCCATTTCTCTGCGCTAATGTGCCTACGTCAAAAGTGTATTTACACGGTTAAATACAAAAGCAGACTATTTACAAGGTAAGAACTGTTACAATTGTGCAGACATCTCGAACTGAAAATCTATGTCACGTGACAATAAATCATGTCAAAACGTTTTTGAATTGGACTGAATTAATTTGATTTGACAGTCAGGTACTGATTACATACAATGTTGATGCAACTAATAGGCTACTTAAATATATATCACACTATTAAATAGTTAGACATTATGATCTTCCGGACCTTTGCTTCAAGAATTTTTCTCTTAACTGGACCTCTTTAAATTTGAGTTGAATACCCCTGATCTAAAGAAACCAAGCTCCATGGCTGAGGACACTTACCATTTGCATCTCCTCGCCATCCTTTCTGGCAT